ATCGCTTTCACTCTCAATAAGCAGCGGTGCTTTAGCACGGTGCACCTCACCCGTGCCAAAGCGCTCACAGGTGGAGGATAGTCCTCCCCCAGCTGCTATCATGAGACCTTCACACCTGTGCGTCCAAACTGCAAATGAGTCGCGCATGGGCGAAGCCGCTGCTCCCGCACTGACTGTAACGCAGTCAGTTCTTCTTTTACTGTTATGCTGTTTTGTGGATCACAAGGTTTAAAACTACTTATAAACACACAAAGTAACTCCACCAGAGTGCCAATTTCGGGTCACTTTTGCAAGGTCCAAGCCCGGATAAAGGAGCAGGGTTGGACTTGTTACATTAAAAAAAAATTGCATTTAGGACATTTTTTACTCTCCAACAACGTAGGTTACAATTACATTAGCAAGACCAATTATGCAAATTAGGCGATGAGGTCATTTAGCGACTTTTAGGACAGTCAATAGCGATTTTCCTTTCTGTGGAGTTGGCAACACTGAGCGTGAGACTGATGTGTGGAAAAACCCATGTCAGTGTCGCACATGCATTTGCTGCAGAGATACGGGGAGCCCTCCCACTTCCCTGTTTATGTACTCAATTTACACGATCAAGGCATCGTCTGCATGCCTGCTCCCAGCTTATTTTAACATGGTTGAACCAGTGTTGTTTTTCTTATTGTATTTTGTTTATCTATTTCTTATATTTTTTTCTCACGGTACATTTAATATGTTGGCTTCTCAGTGTAGGCCAGAGCCTTATTTCAAGAGGCAGGTTTCTCTAAAATACCTGAGGTTAGGGAAATTTGGGGTTTCTGACCTCTCCCTCATGCTACTGCATGACACTCAATTGAATTTCCTCGTTGGTAAAGTCGCCTTCAAATTAGTCATGCTGGATATCTGAACTGGAACGTACCAGGTAATGTGTTAGAAATGAAAGGATGCCACATTGATTGAAAGTAAAACGATCAGGAAGTAAGGTTGGTGGTTTGATCCCTGGCTTCTCTAGTCCAAATAGCTCTCCAGTGCATCTATCAGAGTATAAATGTGGTTTAAATGTTAGATAGAAAGTACTTGTGCAAGCAAAGTGTTTCCATGAATCGGTGGATGAGCGGTATATACGAACCAGTCGATTTACAGACACCCTGAAAATCAAACTGAAAAAAGGTTGCAGTGGACTTGTGCATTGTGCTCAATTTTATTTGCAGCAGCTCAGAATGCTACTCAGTAGTTTCTGTGGCCCCCACGTGCTTGTGGGTGGTGTCCTAGAGGATCTCCTCCTAGATCTGGACCAAAGCATTACTCAGCTGCTGGACAGTCTAAGGTACAACCTTGCGTTTGATGGACAGAATCAAAAAGTCTCAGAGGTGTTAGGTCAGGTGAGAGTGGGAGGCCATGAGTGGTATCTATTAATTTATCCTCCAGGTACTGCCTACATACCCTCACCACATGAGGCCACCAGGAGGAACCCAGGACCCACTGCACCAGAGTCTGACAGTGGGTCCAGGGATTTTACCCGGATACATAATGGCAGTCAGTGTGTCGTTGCCTAGCCTGAAGGGCCCACTAGAGAACGTTTGGTCAGAGACATTCAGAGGTGGGACCAAGTCATTGTTTTGCAAGTCTCAAGTAAGTCTCAAGTCTTTATCCTCAAGTCTCAAGTAATGTCAGGCAAGTCAGAGTCGAGTCTCAAGTCACTGGTGTAAAAGTCCGAGTCAAGTCACAAGTCTGAAACTTTGAATTTCAAGTCCTTTCGAGTCTTTAAAAAAAAAAATGAAAAAATAATGTTGCAGTTATGCTAAATGTAAATATTAGACCATGTAATTTTAAAATCTGTGTTTTTCTCAACACATGACAAAATAGTGAACTTAGAAAATATACACAAATTGTGAAATTGCACCTCTTTAAAATGCAGCTCAATTAAACCTAGCTCCAAGAATAATTTTCACCGACAGTTCTGAGATAAGCTGCATGTCATTCTTGGATGCGGTTGTAGGACCGGCTTTAAAATCGCATGACAAAAATATCATACATATTAAAAAAAACTGTATCACCAACGTAGCCTGGAAACATTTGCTAGTTAGATGAAGTCAGCTATCTCATCGTAGCATATTTATATGCATATTTATAATCATACGGTTCTTGGAGTGAGTGCATACACTCATGAAGTTTAGTAACTTCAGGTCACTGCAACAAGCCCAGGTACAGTTTACCGACGGATGGGTACAGGACCTTGAAATGCACCGTGTAGAACGAAAGACCATCGTACGTATCATAAGTTTACCAGTCTCACAAATCGTCTTCATAAATACACATTCATTAACCGTTTATTAATAGGACCTTTGAGCTCAATGGTAATTAATTAGTAGTGGAAATAATTTCTGGTAGCATCACAGAAATGTAGCAGTGACAATAATATTGTATGCTGTAATCGTACTGGGCAATTAGTGATACAAAAAACTGTTTTATCCTGTGAAAAAAGTATGTTTTTGTCAATGTACCATAATAACAGAAGCGAAACACAATATGGTGTCAGGACAATTCACTATTTATGCACAATAAACAAAGGAGCATAGCGCGACAATTTCTGTTCAGCACCAGACTTGCTTGTAACCTATATCACCAATTATGTTATGAAAATGATGCATTAACTACTAAAAACACTGACCTTCGTGTAAATGCTTGGAGCAGACTAACCTGTGAGCTGGAGTGTTCTGGGACGTTATATTTGGTCTTTGAATGGCTGCAATCCAGGCCATCCGTCGCGTCTTTGTTACTTCGGAAACATGGCTCGAACAATTTCTCTTCAACGACGTAATCCGATAACAACCGATCTCTTTACCCGTCGGCTTCCCGTGGCTGTCATGCGACCGGCTATTGCAGTTAATAATACAACAGCTTCTTGACATTTTTGTGTTTCTTTTTATCGCTGTATAACTGATTTTAATTGAAACCCTGCGTGCGCTAGTACCGCTTGCCACGAGTTCCCAGAATCCTTTGCGGTTCTACCCCTGAATGACGTCACATTTTCAATCTCTATATAATATGCATGTTAAATTTTATATTTGGGGTAAAATATCAAGTCTTTTCAAGTAAATCGGTTCAAGTCCAATTCAAGTCCCAAGTTAATAGTGTAAAAGTCCAAGTCAAGTCACAAGTCTTAGAACATTTTTTCAAGTCAAGTCTAAAGTCATAAAATTAATGACTCGAGTCTGACTCGAGTCCAAGTCATGTGACTCGAGTCCACACCTCTGGAGACATTCACACCAGTGACCCGCTGGAGGTCATTTTGTAGCTCTGTCAGTGCTCATCCTGTTGCTCCTTGCACAAAGGAGCAGATCTGGCTGAGAATTTTCTGCACCGTGTTTCCATCCTCAGTGATACATTGTGAAATCTTTCTCCCTCTTTTCAAAATAGCATCTATCAGATTTAAATCAGATAAGTTACAGTTTTATGCGGATGTATGCAGTAAAAGTAAACTGATGATCTGTAGTGTGGTGAAGAAAATGAGTTGTATCACAAAAACAGAGCTACAGTCAGAGAGCTGTTCTTATTTTAAATGTATTCAAAATATTCTTAATCAGCATCATTTGCATTGTTACCTGAAGATGATACTGACACATATGAATTTGCATGAACTAGAGATGGAGCACTAGAAATAATACATTTGCAGATGCAACTTTGGGAACATGGAGACTGGACAATGTAAATAAATTTTAACAACTGACATGAAGACCAGTTAAAGTAGAGCACTGTAGTAGGACTGTTGGCACCGTGCCCTTTTAGCACAAATGTGTTTATTCATTACAAGAGGGGAAATAAAGGCTGTCACAGTGTTATATAAGCTGGAGCTGTTTCACAAGTTGAAACATTTCGGATTAAAACTGCTGTCCTCTGTAGTCAAATTTTTTTTTCTTCATATCTACATATTAGTTAATCAAATTAAAAGAACTTTTCATTCTTTTCATTGTTTGGAATGCTGCATAAAAAGGAAATGTGAACTTTACTAGGATTAGTTTTTTTTTCCCTTTTACACTTAATTTGCCAATATAAGTTACTGTAATTCAGATTAACAGTATCATAATGCTAATTCTGTATTTGTTATTTCTATTTCATATATTGAGAAGACAGGCACAGGCATTAATTAGATAATAGTGTTTGTATCGAAAACCGCTGTAGAATTTACAGTTTCATACTGTATAAAACACAGTTAGAATGCAGTAATTTTCAGAATCAGTGACTTACTGTAGTTACTTCAGCTAAAGCGGTTTACACATTCACCAAAAAAGCAAAATATCCCCATTTCAGTCCTATGAAGAGATGCAATTTTTTTTAATGCTTGAGTAACTATGAAGGTTTTATTGTGAAACAGTTACAGGAAGGTGTTTTGCAAAACTCTGAACTCATTTTATCAAAATTCATAAGTTCTGAGACTTAAAGAGGAAAAGAGAGGAGGACAAATCCAAGTTGCAGAGTATGTAGTGGCTGACGAAGATGGTCAGACAGGCAGAGATTAAACTGGAGACTTCAGATCTAACGTGGTCAGGAAACTTTATGTAACATTAAACAACTTTAGAAACAACAACAGAATTCTGTTTTAAGCTGTTTTCATCATATCCGATTCTTACAGACAGAGCATTTAATATTTTCTGTGTACATTATTTTTATGGTGCAGCATTTAGACTTGTAGTTCTGTTTTTTTGGTGCTTTCCTGGGTATGTTTGCCTTTGATAAAATCAGGCAGCTGCAATAATGAGATAAGCCACGTTTAATAAGCAGGTTCCTTTCGATACCCTGTAGAATCAACCACGTTACTTAATGTTAGCCTCATAAGGAATAAAGTGAGGCAGAGGTGCAAATGTTTCAGCTATCAGAATATATGTTTCCGATTTGATATGACATATATTCAGTTTTCTTTGTAGATCATCATACAGATCTTCTTTTTCTTCTAGGAAACCAGCTAATACACTGCATCAGTACCTAGATGATTAATCTGCCTATTTCTACCCGGCAAACTCTGGTAAGTAAAACACTGAATTAAGTCACTTTAAATCAGTCGTTCAGGAAAGAGCAACACCAGAAAGAAAAATAGAATTTTTTTTCTCCTAAGTTTTATGAACTTTTTTCTCCTCATAAGGGTTCCCTGCAGTTGGGCCATGACATTGTGAACATTCGCATCAAGATTTTTCATCTGTTTTAGAACTTTTACAGCTATAATGAGTTAGGATGTGCGAATTAATTAGCATTAACATATATAAACGAGTAAACGCAATCATCGAGTCATGCTCCAGCAGAGAAACAGTTGTAACAGGAAGCATACAACTGTGTCATGGTTCCAGGTTTTGCACAGTATTTATGATGTTTTTGTTTCATTTGTAATCTTGAGTTTTTCTGTTTATATTTTCCTGTTGTCTTCAGTGATTCCCTGTCTTTTCCTCCTTCTGACTGCATTTTATTGCCTTTATCCTACTGGGCCCTATTCTAGGAAGCAAGTTCAACAAAACACAAAATCTGAGGTTGATAACTTCGAGTTTCCTGTTCGATGACTTGTTTATATTTATGTTCCTAAAAGGCAGATTAGAGTGAGTTCAATTAACTCTGAGTTAATGACATGTGTGATTACAGACGAGAAAGCCATTATCAGTGGAGCTCTGATACCAGGGCCCTATTTCAGGAAGCCGGTTTAGTGCAAACTCTGAGTAAGTATACGCTGAGTTAACGAAAACTCTGGGTTTTCGGTTTCACAAAGCGAGTTCAGATTAATTCTGAGTGAGTTACTATGATGACACACTCCGTGAAGCTAACCTGCCCCCTAGCAGGTTTACTTCAACTAACCCTGACTTTCTCCGCCTCTTTGTCAGAAAATGCATACACTCATGAAGTTTAGTAACTTCCGGTCACTGCAACAAGCCCAGGTACAGTTTACCGATGGATGGGTACAGACCCTTGAAATGCACCGTGTAGAACGAAAGACCATCGTACCTATCATAAGTTTACCAGTCTCACAAATCGTCTTCATAAATACACGTTCGTTAACCGTTTATTAATAGGACCTTTGAGCTCAATGGTAATTAATTAGTAGTGGAAATAATTTCTGGTAGCATCACAGAAATGTAGCAGTGACAATAATATTGTATGCTGTAATCGTACTGGGCAATTAGTGATACAAAAAACCTGTTTTATCCTGTGAAAAAAAGTATGTTTTTGTCAATGTACCATAATAACAGAAGCGAAACACAATATGGTGTCAGGACAATTCACTATTTATGCACAATAAACACAGGAGCATAGCGCGACAATTTCTGTTCAGCACCAGACTTGCTTGTAACCTATATCACCAATTATGTTATGAAAATGATGCATTAACTACTAAAAAACACTGACCTTCGTGTAAATGCTTGGAGCAGACTAACCTGTGAGCTGGAGGGTTCTGGGACGTTATATTTGATCTTTGAATGGCTGCAATCCAGGCCATCCGTCGCATCTTTGTTACTTCGGAAACATGGCTGAACAATTTCTCTTCAACGACGTAATCCGATAACAACCGATCTCTTTACCCGTCGGCTTCCCGTGGCTGTCATGCGACCGGCTATTGCAGTTAATAATACAACGGCTTCTTGCCATTTTTGTGTTTCTTTTTATCGCTGTATAACTGATTTTAATTGAAACCCTGCGTGCGCTAGTACCGCTTGCCACGAGTTCCCAGAATCCTTTGCGGTTCTACCCGTGAATGACGTCACATTTTCAATCTCTATATAATATGCATGTTAAATTTTATATTTGGGGTAAAATATCAAGTCTTTTCAAGTAAATCGGTTCAAGTCCAATTCAAGTCCCAAGTTAATAGTGTAAAAGTCCAAGTCAAGTCACAAGTCTTAGAACATTTTTTCAAGTCAAGTCTAAAGTCATAAAATTAATGACTCGAGTCTGACTCGAGTCCAAGTCATGTGACTCGAGTCCACACCTCTGGAGACATTCACACCAGTGACCCGCTGGAGGTCATTTTGTAGCTCTGTCAGTGCTCATCCTGTTGCTCCTTGCACAAAGGAGCAGATCTGGCTGAGAATTTTCTGCACCGTGTTTCCATCCTCAGTGATACATTGTGAAATCTTTCTCCCTCTTTTCAAAATAGCATCTATCAGATTTAAATCAGATAAGTTACAGTTTTATGCGGATGTATGCAGTAAAAGTAAACTGATGATCTGTAGTGTGGTGAAGAAAATGAGTTGTATCACAAAAACAGAGCTACAGTCAGAGAGCTGTTCTTATTTTAAATGTATTCAAAATATTCTTAATCAGCATCATTTGCATTGTTACCTGAAGATGATACTGACACATATGAATTTGCATGAACTAGAGATGGAGCACTAGAAATAATACATTTGCAGATGCAACTTTGGGAACATGGAGACTGGACAATGTAAATAAATTTTAACAACTGACATGAAGACCAGTTAAAGTAGAGCACTGTAGTAGGACTGTTGGCACCGTGCCCTTTTAGCACAAATGTGTTTATTCATTACAAGAGGGGAAATAAAGGCTGTCACAGTGTTATATAAGCTGGAGCTGTTTCACAAGTTGAAACATTTCGGATTAAAACTGCTGTCCTCTGTAGTCAAATTGTTTTTTTTTCTTCATATCTACATACTAGTTAATCAAATTAAAAGAACTTTTCATTCTTTTCATTGTTTGGAATGCTGCATAAAAAGGAAATGTGAACTTTACTAGGATTAGTTTTTTTTTCCCTTTTACATTTAAGTTACTGTAATTCAGATTAACAGTATCATAATGCTAATTTTGTATTTGTTAATTCTATTTCATATATTGAGAAGACAGGCACAGGCATTAATTAGATAATAGTGTTGGTATCGAAAACCGCTGTAGAATTTACAGTTTCATACTGTATAAAACACAGTTAGAATGCAGTAATTTTCAGAATCAGTGACTTACTGTAGTTACTTCAGCTAAAGCGGTTTACACATTCACCAAAAAAGCAAAATATCCCCATTTCAGTCCTATGAAGAGATGCAATTTCTTTTAATGCTTGAGTAACTATAAAGCTTTTATTGTGAAACAGTTACAGGAAGGTGTTTTGCAAAACTCTGAACTCATTTTTATCAAAATTCATAAGTTCTGAGACTTAAAGAGGAAAAGAGAGGAGGACAAATCCAAGTTGCAGAGTATGTAGTGGCTGACGAAGATGGTCAGACAGGCAGAGATTAAACTGGAGACTTCAGATCTAACGTGGTCAGGAAACTTTATGTAACATTAAACAACTTTAGAAACAACAACAGAATTCTGTTTTAAGCTGTTTTCATCATATCCTATTCTTACAGACAGAGCATTTAATATTTTCTGTGTACATTATTTTTATGGTGCAGCATTTAGACTTGTAGTTCTGTTTTTTTGGTGCTTTCCTGGGTATGTTTGCCTTTGATAAAATCAGGCAGCTGCAATAATGAGATAAGCCACGTTTAATAAGCAGGTTCCTTTCGATACCCTGTAGAATCAACCACGTTACTTAATGTTATCCTCATAAGGAATAAAGTGAGGCAGAGGTGCAAATGTTTCAGCTATCAGAATATGTTTCCGATTTGATATGACATATATTCAGTTTTCTTTGTGGATCATCATACAGATCTTCTTTTTCTTCTAGGAAACCAGCTAATACACTGCATCAGTACCTAGATGATTAATCTGCCTATTTCTACCCGGCAAACTCTGGTAAGTAAAACACTGAATTAAGTCACTTTAAATCAGTCGTTCAGGAAAGAGCAACACCAGAAAGAAAAATAGCATTTTTTTTCTCCTAAGTTTTATGAACTTTTTTCTCCTCATAAGGGTTCCCTGCAGTTGGGCCATGACATTGTGAACATTCGCATCAAGATTTTTCATCTGTTTTAGAACTTTTACAGCTATAATGAGTTAGGATGTGCGAATTAATTAGCATTAACATATATAAACGAGTAAACGCAATCATCGAGTCATGCTCCAGCAGAGAAACAGTTGTAACAGGAAGCATACAACTGTGTCATGGTTCCAGGTTTTGCACAGTATTTATGATGTTTTTGTTTCATTTGTAATCTTGAGTTTTTCTGTTTATATTTTCCTGTTGTCTTCAGTGATTCCCTGTCTTTTCCTCCTTCTGACTGCATTTTATTGCCTTTATCCTACTGGGCCCTATTCTAGGAAGCAAGTTCAACAAAACACAAAATCTGAGGTTGATAACTTCGAGTTTCCTGTTCGATGACTTGTTTATATTTATGTTCCTAAAAGGCAGATTAGAGTGAACTCAATTAACTCTGAGTTAATGACATGTGTGATTACAGACGAGAAAGCCATTATCAGTGGAGCTCTGATACGAGGTGTTTAAATGAAGAACATAGGACCGGGGAATATAAACAGGTGTCAGTGAGGACCATGATATTTATCTTAAAAGCCGAGAGTGAAGAAAAGAGTCTTTTTAATCACTCAAGTTTACTTTTTTAGTACCATAGAATGAATAAAATTTTAAATAAAACATGTAACTTGTTTTTATGCTGTCTGTTTCATTGAATTTTGTTTATTTAATGCTGGAATCCAAATTTCATATTTGATTTTTTGTTAGATAAACATGCTTTCTGGATCAGACCCTGGCTGTTACTCAGTTTGTTCTGGCTTGTGATTTGTTATTGCACAATTAACAGTAGATTCACTTTTGGGGTTTTTTTTTATTCTTTTTTCCCCTAGATTGTACAAAAACATTTGAGAACAGATTCTGATAAAGTATAAACAAAAGTATTACTTACGATTCTGGATTTAAGGGCTTTACAAGTTGATTATTTACTTGTGAATTCACAAGAATGCAAACCACTAAATTAGGTAAATAAAATGGAAAACAAACCCTGAAAATCAGCTGGTGACAGACTCAGCTGATTGTTAGCAACATATTTGTTCAGTTGCATAACTCTACAAGACTGTGGCCGAAACCTCAGGTAAGAACAGAACTGCACAGGTGTTACATACCTATTTCCAATGAATGCCATGTTTGTCCAACCCAGCAGCAACAATGACTGAGAAGAAAAGGAAGCGATCTGTGTCTGTTGAGTCGTCCAGTGAGACTCCAACCAGGTAATAAACAGCTTAATGGATGATCTCACCATTTTGACCTTTTGTAATTAGACTGTCAGTATTCAGCAAATGCATCTTCATATAGAGAAACAGTCTGAAAAAAGTACTGATTCTTCAAATTCTGATTAACCATTCTTCACTTTATGGTGTAAGATTGTAAGATTGGTGTTGCACATTGTGTGTTGAGAATTAATCAATCTGTGCTGTTCGCTGGTGTTATTACAGCTGAAAAAGAGAGCTTATAATATAGATAATCCTACTGAAACTCATCCAGCATCTCCAGCACAAAAAAAAATCTATCTCTAACATACATTTATGAATTAAGGCATTTATCAAAGTGATCATCTTGGGGGGGTGGCATGTTTGAGACCTAAAACCGTATCTCCTTCTAGTTCACAGATGAGTACCACTCCCAGCATGAGTAAGAGCGACAGATCCAAGTTTGAGCCCCTCGGCTTTGAAAGGTTGTAAATCTATGAACCCTAACAAATGTCTTGTCACTGTACCTTCTGAAAAGAATGTGGAGTTGTGGACATGCTTCAAATTAAAATTAAAATGCTTCATTATATTGAAAGTTTTGGTGAATTGATATCTGACAAACAGTATAAATTTAATAAATTGATGTCAGTCAGTAAACAGACTGTTCTCTGTTTAGTTCACAGTTCACGGGATCTGCAGCTCCAAGCGATATTTCTTTAAAGAGCGACAGATCCAAGTTTGAGCCACTTGGTTTTAAGACACAAAGGTAATTCTCATTTATATTAAAAAAGGACTTTCCAGCCACCACTACCTATCTACTCTCAGCCCATCATGTGGTGTATTGATTTAAGCCGATCTTCATAATGGAGAGGTTGTTGTTGTTGTGGAGGTCGTTGTTTCATTTTAGTACAGGGGGTTGAAATTGCTAAGAGTGATGTATTTGTGAACATGTTTATATCTACAAGAATGAGCCATGAAAAGTGTGTTTGGGGTTTGTTGTCATAATTTGATTGAACTGTCAGACAGTAAGACACAATGAGACACATTCAGTGAAATGATATCACTATCAAAAATGTTTCATATGAATTATTTTCTGTCTAGTTCACAGTCGACGGCTTCGTCTGAGTCCATGTCATTGAAGAGCGACAGATCCAAGTTTGAGCCACTCGGTTTTAAGACACAAAGGTAATTCTCATTTATTTTAAAAGTACCTAACACTCACTCCTAACTATCTACTCTCAGCCTATCATGTTGTTTATTGATTTAATCCTATCTTCAGTGGAGAGGTTGTTGTTGTGGAGGTCATTACTGCCATTCAGTCCTTGCTGCACTAAGTCTCTCATCTTGCAAATGTACACTGACTCCAGCATGTTGGACTGCAGCTGCATTCTGGGGGGTTGAAATAACCCAGACTGACAAATGCATTTGTGAAGATTTGTGATGAAAAATGTTTCAAATGAATTCTTTTCTGGGCCTGGGTCCATGTCGCTGAGGAGCAACAGATCCAGGTTTGAGCCCTTTGTTTTTAAGACAGAGACACAAAGGTAATTCTGATTTACTGAGGGAGTGAAATATCTTGCATTATAAATATTCTTAAGCAGGTTGACAATGTTATATTCAGTGCTATACTTAGTGCTTGATATGGACTTCCATAGTGTTAATGTATTTGTCTATATGAGGGATGAGGGTGTTCATTGACCGATCACATGAACTAATTTAAACAGCAGTGCAGTGCCTTGCAGGAGACTGGTGCTATGGCATCTGACAGATGTACTGGCAGTCCTGCTTATTAGTGGGTTCTCTCCCTGGAGGATTAGTTATTGGGCACGCTTAAGCTTGGATACAAAGCAACTGAGGAAAGGAATTCATAATTTACTTGTAATCATGTTTTTAGCACTTCTGGAAAACCAAGGCGAGGAGAGAGGACAAAACCTTGACTTTGAGGCCCCAGAATCGGCATATTGGAAGACTGTACTTTCCACAAAGTTAATAATGACTGAAGCAGATTGGGATGCAGCCCATTAAGGCAGAGGAAATGCAATAATTCTGAATTTTGCTCTGCTATGGTTTGAATGCTGTCTGGGGAACGACAAGTAGAACATGAGATAATACAATAATAATGGGTTTGTGAATCCTGCTTTTACAAAGAGGCACCGGTGTTTAGACTTCAGTTACAAAGTGCCTCTATCACACTATTGAAACTCAAGCTTAAAGAACAGCCACTAGAAAGGGAGCTCTTAACAATTAACTAACGCCAGGTCCAGGAGGAGCAGTGTGATTAGTTAGGTTTATAAGTTAGAAGATCAGCGATCCAGTTTGGTTTGAATTCATGTGCATTGAATTCCATGTACAATGAAATGATCACAAACTTGGTTTGAGGCGACACTGGCATTCATGCTGCTTCTGAGACAAACACGTTGAATCAAACAGGCTCAGAGAAACGTGTATTAGAGATAAAAGTGGACAGTATGGATGAAACATTTGATCATGTATCATATCACAGTCATTTAGGGCAATATTGTGATAATTATTATCCACCATATGAAATGTAGTGGACACCAAAGATTTAGTTAGACCCATGTGACCAAATGATTACATGTGAATTTGTTGTGGGCATAAAGTTCAGCTCAAGTACATTAATCATAATCATTTGTTTAAATGTATTTTTATTCCAGTTTGGGTTTTAAAATGTAAGTCACTCCATCATATTTGAGTAGGGCTGTTCGATATAACGATATATATCGGATGACGATATAAAAACGTCTATAGTTTCATTTTACGCTATCGTTTGTTTCGTGGTGTCGCAAAATAAACTGTTTACGACAATATTTTTTCATCGTTTTGATGGTCACTGCAGTGGCTATATTAATTTCTTAAAGTTCTCTCTTTCTCTTATATTTAATATAACCACACTACGGACGGACAAGCGCCTGTTTTTATGCATTTATGCAACAGCGACGGTAATACCTTCGCGTGTCCGCTTGTTTATGTTCCACATAAACCTTTCACAGTAAAGCTCAAGATCCTGTTGAGACTTTTCAAAATAGACTGAATCACGTGAAAGAGCAGATTATTTACGGATGAGAAGTAAAAAAGAGCCGTCAGGTGCTAATGAATAAACCTTAGACTCAAACGTTAGAACAAGCTTTTCCCCGCAGCACGCTAAATACAAAGAAAATGGCGGCCTTTACAACTTATGTCTAAAAATGTATCGTTTCATGCATCGGTTAAAACACTTGACTCCAGCTACATGACGCGCAGCTGGTAACACTTCACGTCGAGCTGCCTGAGATTCACAGAATTTACAGAAAATGTTACATTTTTGTGATTTATATCGTTATCGGACGATAGAATTCTTATATCGGGATATGAGATTTTGGTCATATCGCACAGCCCTATATTTGTGTGTTTTTGCTTTACCCTGCTTGGTTCTCTTTTTTTTTTAATTTAAGTGTCTCTCCAATAATTTTCTCATCTTGCAGACTTAGACTAACTTTATTGTCTTGGACTGTCTGCTGTTCATGAGCAACTATTACTAGAACCAGTGGGGAAGGGGAAACTGTTTTTAACTGTGACTTAACTGTTTTAAGCTCAGTGAGACTGCAGAGGAAAACAGGACGTAGCACATCCAGCTGGAGAGGAAGCTGAATGATGTCAAACAGGAAAACATGAGGCAGAGCAGTACGGAGGATTATTAGGGAAAAAACATATTATTGATCATTTTGAGAATAAAGTTAAAATTTTGAGATTAAAGTAGTAATTCTATTTAGAGAAAAAAATAGAAATTTGGAGAGTACCTATGTTGTTTCAAGATAAACTACCATGTTTGTTGTACCCTCTGAGTTAGTGAAATCGTACTTCAGAGTCAGTTTTAGCAACAAGGAAGAAAATGGTCTTTTAGCACATGAACGCAGTGTGGGGATAAATATATGGGCAATGAATAGATGTTAGAGAGGGAATTTGTATAAAATGAAATGATTGGTAATGGACAGATGCAAAAGTATCAATGGTTAAAGCGTCGTCCAATAAACAGGGTTTATGTTGTGTCACAAGACGGCCGATCAGTTTGCTTCACTAATTCATCTAAACATGCAGAGGTTATAGCAGCTGTGGCAGTTTGTCTTGAAACAATAACTGTAACCTCTACATTTTGACTTCAGTCTCAAAATGATCAACTTTTTTTATGTGGCCCAAATAATCCTTTGTAGGGCAGAGACTGAACTTTCAAATAAAAAACAAAAAAACAATTACATGGGTCTTTTAAGAAAGTCATTTGTGTGATTTCTGCGAAATTTGCCAAATTTAGTCTGTTACATAAGTTTGTCCTCTCAAATTTTATTGTAAAACAGTTAAGAGCAAACATTTATCCATTTTCATACCAGTTTATTCAACTACCAGTACCATTTATCCATTAGCTAATTAAAATACGGTCTAATTTGTAAACCCTTCTACAGACCAGTAACTGAGAAGCCATCCACCTGTCCAGTTTGCAAAGATGTTATGAAAAATCCAGTTCAGCTCAGCTGTGAACACTGGTGCTGCAAACTGTGTCTCAGCTCAGACCTGGATGAGTCTGTGTCACCAGCAGACTGTCCTTGTCCTCAGTGTGGGAAGAAATCCAAGAAAACATTAAAACAAGAGAAAGACACAGAGACACATATTGGTAAGTTGACATCCTTTATGTCACTACTATCTCTGTTACTGTTTGCATAATCACTGCTGGGAATCATCTTTTAGTCTTTAATTACTTGGTTAAAGAAAGATTGCATGGCAATAAATAAATCAAAGAACCAAAGAAAATGGGGGGGGTCACGTGACGTCAATGGCGGAGTAGCTGTGTTTCTCGCCCGCTCCCGCAGCTTGGCATTTGTTTAGGCCTTTATATGTCTTATTTGGTTAAAGTGTCTGTTTATTTCGACTTTTAAACTTCGTACGATGCCAAGCACCCAGAAGAAGCTCAACCTTGGGTCGAAACCAGGCAAATCCGGAGGAAATCACCCTCCGCTCAGCGATCATGCTGTAGCGGTTATGGCGGAGGCCCAGTCGCCCCCACTTGTCGACCGAATGGACGTCGACAAATTGGTGGAGAGGATATCGGCGGAGGTGCTGAGGGCGGTGGAGGCCTCCTTTGAGAAGAAGATTGATCCAGTTCTGAAAAGACTGGAAACATGCGCAGCTAACATTTCTGCATTGGATGTTAAAATGAAGGAGGCAGAGGCACGTATATCAACGCAGGAAGATGTTGCAGCGGGATATGGCGCCAAGATTTCTGAAGTGGAGCTCAAGCTGGAGGCCGCTTTGGATAAGATTGATGACTTGGAGAACAGGAGCCGACGGTGTAACATACGTGTTATTGGGCTACCCGAAGGCAGTGAAGGTACCAACCCTGTGTCTTTTTTCAAAACGTGGTTACCGGAGTTGGTGGCTGTGAGTTTCAAGGGCGGCGCTGTTAAAATCGATCGCTGCCACCGGGTGCTTGCACGCCTCCCTTCCAGTGCCCAGCGACCCCGCGCGGTCATCATAAAGCTCCACAACTTCCAGGATAAAGCACGGATCATGCAAGCGGCTAGGAGGAAGCAGTCCTTATTTCATAATGGCATTCCTATTATGATATTCGAGGACTTCTCCGCCGCTGTTCTGAAGAAACGCCAGGGATTCTACCACGTCAAACAACGCCTTAGGGAGATGGGTGTCCCTTCGCTATGATGTACCCGGCTGTCCTTAGGATCAAGATCGATGGCCAGGAGAAATCTTTTAGATCTCCAGAAGCAGTCTAAGCTTACCTGGATAACGTACCTCAAGGGGCGGGGCCGCGCTCATCCTCGGTGGCTCCAGTGGACTGTTGATCTGTGCTCCTGTCCCATACGTGAGGCATTCGCCAATCCCTCGTCTCCTCCTCCTTTTTTTTTTTTTCTTCCTTCCCTGTTTATTATTATTGTTATTTTTTCTGTTTGGTTTCTTTTTTTTCTTTTCGGGTCTGTGCGGAGATAATAACCCCATACACATAGACTATTTTATTTAGCCATTTATAATCCGAATCCTTGTTTTAGCTGCGGGCGGGCAACTGTTTCACGTTACTGATTGAGAAAAGACTCGTACTCTGGTCCAGCATCTTTCTATGTCCAAGTTGGAAAGTTTGCTTGCGCCCCCTGCTGGGCGTTGGAGACCTCTGTCTGACCTCCATACTCACTGGTTTCTTGACGGTTCTGTTTCTTGTAAATAGTTTTCTGTTAATTGTTAGCAAAGCAGGACGTTTGTTTTTCTATGTGTATTTTACTTGCCACTGGTGTTGTAGAGCAGTGTTTGGCCTACATATCAGCTATGCTTTGGTCACCTGAGCGTGGTTCCATGCTTATTTAAAATGTTGTATGATAAGTGATAATTCAATGTTAAATGTTTGTTCCTGGAATGTAGGAGGTATACATAACCCTATTAAACGGAAAAAAATATTGAGTTTTCTTAAGAGGGAGAATGTCCATGTTGCCTTGTTGCAAGAAACTCACCTGTCTCCTCAGGAGCATCTAAAACTGAAACGTGATTGGGTCGGTCAAGTTTTTAGTTCCTCCTTTACGAGTAAGAGCCGCGGTGTAGCCGTTTTAATACATAAACACCTACCGCTGACAGTTGACCAAACAATTTGTGATAAGTCTGGTAGATATGTTTCCTTAAAGGGCACCCTAGGTGGTCAGGCGGTGTCATTTCTGAATATTTACTTTCCACCAGTACAGTCTAGCGACTTTATTGCTCATATTTTCTCTTCCTTTTCTGATTGGGTTTGTGATAATTCTGTGATAGCCGGTGATTTTAACTGTTATTTTTCTACAACTAAGGACAGATCCCCTCCTAAACAAATTCAAATGTCTACAAGGGCCAAAGCACTTTTAGATACTTGTAACGAACTTGATCTGGTTGATACCTGGCGGACTCTTCATCCTAACGATAAAGAATTTACTTTTTTTTCCGGTGTTCATAGAACAAGTAGTAGGATCGATCTCGTTTTCACCCCCAAACGATCACTGGGAAACATTTTGAGATGTACAATAGGTGATATTATTATATCTGATCATGCCCCGGTTTTTGTTCAGTTAAGTGATCTAAATCCTGTCCCTCGGTCTCATACCTGGAGATTTGACAATTTTTTGATTCACGACCCAAGGTTCGAAACATTTTTAAATGATCAGCTTGAACATTTTTTAAAGGTCAATGCAACCCCTGAAGTTTCTCCAGGCCTGCTTTGGGACACCCTGAAGGCTTACACCCGTGGACTGATTATATCATATTCAGCAGGCCTGAAGCGGAAAAATCAGATGGAACAACGGAAATTAGAACTGGAATTGCACGAACTGCAAGCTAAACATAATGAATCACCTTCAGAGCACTTAAGGAATGAAATTCAGGTGGTTAAAACAGCTTTGGAGGCACTATTAACAAGAAAGGCTGAGAAATCTCTTTTCTTCATGAGGCAGAGGTTGTATGAGTTTGCTAATAAACCTAACCGCTATCTGGCCAATCTTCTTCATAATAAGGGTGCTGGTTGTAATATCCCATGTGTTAGAGACTCATCTGGTTTACCTAAATATGACAATTTAATTATTAATGATACTTTTAAAACTTTTTACAAGCAGTTATATACCTCCCAGTTTAAATCAACATTGGAACAAGGTATGCATCACTTCTTCTTAGGACTAAATCTACCTAAAGTTACTGAAATCCAAAGGGATGATTTATGTAAACCTATAACGCAAAGTGAAATTTTGAAAGTTATTCAGATGCTTCCAAATAACAAAGCCCCGGGTCCAGACGGGTTCACGGGGGAATTCTTTAAGAAATTTAGTAAGATTCTGACTTCCCACTGTATAAGATGCTTCTGCCCTCTTTTGAGGCAGGCACTCTCCCCCCCTCCTTAATGGAGGCTAATATTTCGCTAATTTTGAAGAAGGGGAAACCTCCTGAAGAATGCGCCTCCTATAGGCCTATATCTGTTTTAAATCTTGATTTGAAGATACTTGCTAAAGTCCTGGCTGTACGTCTTGAGCCAATACTACCTTCGATCGTTGAGAATGATCAAACTGGTTTTATACGGGGGCGGTATTCCACACATAGCATCAGGCGCCTACTTAACATTATTCAGCACTCATCTTTGTTTAACCCTGAGGCTCTAGTCATCTCACTTGATGCTGAAAAGGCCTTTGACCGTCTGGAATGGCCGTTTCTTCTTTTCACACTTCAAGAATTTGGTTTAGGTGACAACTTCGTTAAATGGATTCAGATCCTTTATACTTCCCCTCTTTCGGCAGTGATTACCAATGGTTATAGGTCGGACAATTTCAGTATTGAACGTGGCAGTCGGCAGGGCTGTCCGCTGAGCCCTTTGTTATTCGCCCTGGCTATGGAGCCCCTTGCCACAGCCATTAGGAAGGATGCTGCTATTGAAGGACTCTGTTTGAACAATTCTCAACATAAGATTTCACTTTATGCAGATGACGTCTTAATTTTTCTAAATTCTCCTGCTCACTCAATTCCTAGATTAGTTGCGTTAATTTCCCAATACGGCTCCTTCTCAGGCTACAAGATCAATTTTTCTAAAAGTGAGGCTATGCCCCTCTCTGTTCTAAATGAGGTTGATCCAAACATTTCTCAGCCTTTTCGTTGGTCTCCCTCCGGTTTCACTTATTTAGGGGTAAAGATTTCACCGAATCTAAAAGAAATGTATAGTCTGAACTACACCCCTTTAATTCAGACCATCAATCGCGATTTGGGTAGGTGGTGCAGCCTCCCTCTGTCTCTCTTAGGTCGTATTCATCTGGTCAAGATGAATATCCTCCCTCGCCTCTTGTATTTATTCCAGATGTTACCGCTTGCTCTGTCCAATAAGGTTTTGTCAAAATTAAATGGTTCAATTATTTCTTTTATATGGCGTAAGAAAAGACCTAGGCTGAGATACAGTTTTCTGTGTTTGCCTGTTCAGAAAGGTGGTCTTGCCGCTCCTTCCTTCCCACAATACCTCTTGGCTGCACAGTTTAAATTTCTTACAGAATGGTTTATGGACGATCCGGATTCCATTTACCTCAGCGCTGAGTCCGCTTCTTTAAAGGGCATTCCGTTGCGGAACCTGCTATATATTTCCTCAGGTAAAGCCACAGTTCTGACACAAGATAATATGGTGCTAAAGAATATGCTCGTTATTTGGCGCAAAGTCAGGCGCCTGGAAGGATATTATAATTGTTTCTCCCTTCTTACTCCTATTCATGAAAACCCTGACTTCTTACCTGGTCTTCAGGCTGGTTTTGCGGACTGGTCTCAAAAAGGGATTAATACAGTGGGTGATCTTGTTCATGAGAACTCTCTTCTTACTTTTAATCAACTGAAAAGCAAGTTTGGTCTGACCATTAAGGATTTTTTGAAGTACTTTCAGGTAAAGCACTATATTACTTCTAAATTGAAGGATTTGAATGGAGGGTTCGGTCTTTCTCCTATAGAATCACTCATGGTAAAAACTACCCAACTGAAATGTATCACTAAAAAGATTTATAACATTCTGTCTGATCTTAGAATGGATAACTCTAACAAAATCAAGGGTCAATGGGAATCAGACGTAGGCGCTATAGATGCTGAAGCTTGGGATGAGTTGTGTTGTCGTCCTTTTAAAGCCTTGGCATCTAATTCTATTTGGGAAAGACAGTTTAAACTTATAAATAGGCTTTATATTACACCCGAGAAGAGACACATAATGTTTCCAGCTTTGCCTAATCTCTGTAACAAATGTCAGTCTGCTGTTGGTTCCTTTTTTCATTGTCTGTGGAGCTGCCCTGTTATTCTACAGTTTTGGAGATCACTCATAGACAAGCTATGTACTATATTTAATTGCCGACTGCATCTGGGTCCAAGGACTTGCCTGTTAGGACTGAACGATGAGCTACCTGCCGGCTTTCGCAGCAAAGATCTCCTTCACATACTGCTACACTACGCTCGAAAGTGCATTATGGTACTGTGGATTTCTGATAAGGCCCCATCTGTCAACCAGTGGCTACAATCTGTGATATGTATCATGCCAATGGAAGCCTTCTCTACAGCACTTAAGGACAAACCTTTCCTTTTCTATCGCATATGGGACCCTTTTTTGGCCCACCTGAACACTCCTTCTGCTCAGAGGTTGAAATCGGGCTTACGGGATTTAGCCTGGCAACAAAGGGACGATTGTTAACCTTTTTCATTGTTTATGAATATTGCTGTTGGCTTTCTCTTTCTGCCTCCCACGTCCTGCTATACATGTAGATGCATCTTTGTCCTGTGTGTGTATATGCTGGTCACTGCTGTTTCCCTGCTTTGCAATTAAAAGTTCAAAAAAAAAAACAAAAAAAAAAAGAACCAAAGAAAAATACATTTGATCTTTTAAGAAATGTTACATTTTAAATTAAGTTTAAAAACACACATTAAATCCAAGAGTATCAGGTTTTTGGTAACTGGACTGTATTTATAAAGCAGCTTTATACGATTTTCATCCATTTAATGTAATTTAGAACCAATTTTTTCAAAATTTTAAGAAGATTTGAACCCCCAAATCAGGTCAGGAATTTCTTATCGTGCTTTTTTTCTCTGACCAAATTAAAGCGATCTGGTATTAACTACCTGAGCATCTTTGATGTGTTTCACTGCATTACAGGTAAAATTGATCTTTTGGAGGCAAAGAAGAAATTAAAAGAAGCAATGAAAGAGAAATATTCCTCAGTCTATGAAGGTAATGGTGACAAGCCGAATTCACTGAACAACATCTACACAGAGCTTCACATAACCACTGGAGAGAGTGAAAGGTCACGTGAAGAGCATGAAGTCAGGCTGCGCAAACGTAAACTGATAAGACAGAGTTCAAAACAAAAAGTAATCAACCTAAATGATGTGTTGAAACCGTTGCCTGATCAAGACAAACCTCACAGAACAGTTGTGACGAAGGGCGTTGCAGGAATTGGAAAATCATTTTTTGTGCAGAAATTCATTCTTGACTGGGCCGAAGAGAAGGCAAACCAGGATGCAGACTTTGTTTTCAGTCTTGCTTTCAGAGAGCTGAATTTGACTACAGGTGAGAAAAGCCTACATGAGCTCCTGACTTTATTTCACCCCACACTGTCTGATCTCAAAGATTCAGTGGACTATGCCAAAACCAAGATTGTTCTGATCCTGGACGGTCTGGATGAAAGCAGGTTTCAGCTGGACTTTGAAGGCATTAAGACAATAACATCTGTCAAGGAAGCAGCATCTGTGAGTGATCTCCTAGCAAACCTCATCCAGGGTAAACTTCTTCCTGATGCAAACCTCTGGATTACTTCCCGTCCAGCAGCAGCCAATCAGATCCCTGCTGAGCATGTTGACATGGTGACAGAGATAAGAGGGTTCATTGACTCACAAAAAGCTGAATACTTCAGGAGGAGATTTAGTCATGATCCTGGTCTTGCTGACAGGATCATTAAACATATTCAGTCTTCACAGAGTCTCAACAGCATGTGTCAGATCCCGATCTTCTGCTGGATTTCTGCAGTGTTATTCCAGGAAGTCTTTGGAGGAGATGAGAAAACTGAAATTCCTCAAACTCTTACAGAGATGATGTCACACTTCCTGTTTGCACAAACAAAGCGTAGAAGCAGAAAATATGACAAGAAGGTTGAGACAAACAAAGAAAAGCTTCTGAAAACACAGAGGAAATTTCTTCTGAAACTCGGCAAGCTTGCATTTGAGCAGCTGCTGAAGAACAACCTCATCTTCTATGAGGAAGACCTGGAAGACTTTGGCATTGACATTAAAGAAGCCTCCATGTACTCTGGATTTTGCACCACAGTACTTCGTGAAGAAGAAATCATTTCCCAGAAAAAGGTCTTCTTCTTTGTACATCTGACTCTGCAGGAGTTCTTTGCAGCTCTCCACGTCTATGACTGTTTCATAAATAATGATACCAGAGAGCTCAGCAGCTTCCTCGATCTAAAGAGCCAAGAACATACGTTACTTGATCTTTTAAAGATGATGGTTGACAAAGTGCTGGAGAAGAAAAATGGTCACCTGGACTTTTTCCTGAGATTCCTTCTTGGCCTCCTGGTTGAACCAAATCGCAGAGTCCTTCATGGTCTGCTGCCTTCACCAGATCAAAGTCAAGATACTGAAAAGAAACTCGTGACTTACCTCAAGTCTATGCGAAGGAAGAACCTCTCTCCAGACAGCTGCATCAACCTTTTCCAGACTATGGTCGAGATGAGAGATCACAAAGTCAAAGATGAGATTCAGGAATATCTCGCACTGTCAGATCGTTCAAAAACAGAGTTGACTCCCCTGCACTGCTCTGCACTGGCCTACATGCTGCAGGTATCGAAGAATGATCTGGAAGTCTTGGACTTGAAGAGTTACAACACATCAGAGGAGGGCAGACGGAGGCTGATACCAGCAGTGAGGAGCAGCGGAAAAGCCTTGTAAGTTAAGAAAGATTGTTGGCTTGAATGTTAATAGAAAGTAGAGGGAACAGATCCTCCCTGTCCCTAATAGAAATGATGTCTTCATTATGTATTTTTATGTGTAGCTTTAAACATTTTTGGTTTCTTCAAAAACCTATCACCCTGTTTAGACTAGCAGACTGTAAAGTGACTGAAGAGTGGGTTGAGCATCTGGCCTTTGGTCTCACCTTCCCCTTCTCACCTCTACGACATCTGGACCTGAGCAACAATGACCTGAAAGATTCAGGAGTAGAGCTGCTGTGTAAAGGACTGTCGAATCAGTGCTGCAGACTGGAAACTTTAAGGTACATTTACGTTTAATGCTTATATTCAACACCACTATGGATTAACAACCCACCAAACCTGCTGCAATTTAACATAATTGGTAGAGCCTGTTCTTTGGACATTTAAACAGAACAAGATCTGTTATAACGTAGAACCTCATTTTTGTTGCCATTATTTTATTTATTTAAAATACTTTCTGATGTATCAAATATTGTGTTTTCTCAGGTTATCCGGTTGTCTGGTGACAGAAAAAGGCTGCGAGTCTCTGGTCTCGGCTCTAAAGTCAAACCATTCACACCTGAAAGAGTTGGACCTGAGCTACAACGATCCAGGAGAAACTGGATCAAAGAAGCTCTCTGAGCTGAAGGATGATAAACGATACCAGCTCAGCCAGCTCAAGTAATTAACTGTACCTATGTACCATTCACTGTAATGGAGATGGTCCCAAAGTTCAAAGTTAGCATATAAATGTCCCAGGAAGCCATTTCTGCTGATTTTTAAAAGATGTGGTCTAATACAAACTACTCTATTAGTCTGTTCCCTAAAATGATCATTTTAATGATAAAAAAAGAATAATCAAAATAAAATAAGGTAATGTTTCTCCTTGTGATTGTTGACAAACAAGACTCATAATAATCGGGGCTCTAACAAACCATCAAATATCAGTAGATGTTTTCTCTACCTTAGCAGCTACTTATAGGTCATTTTCCATAATTGTAGATTATGGAAAATGATTGTGTAGATTAAGATTACACAATAAAACTTTGCTTTATCTGAAGTGTTTACAGCTTTGGTGTTTGGTTTTTAATTTTTTCACCTAAGTAAATTCAGTCCAACATCACATCCTTAAGCTTTCTTTGCTGGTGTTTCCGGCTTTGAAAATTGTAATGTTTTTCAACTTTTCTGTTAGTAAATTTTGATCATGTGCAAGATATCAGTGCCGTATGTTGGGGGCTGAAAACAATAAAACAATAGATGCACATATTACTAATATGGCAATAGATATATTAATACTTGACTACTATAATTTTTCTCCACAGTTTAGAACATGGTGGAAGTCACCGGAACAAACCAGGGTTCAAGAAATGTGAGTATCTGTGTAAATCTGAAGTGCTGAATGTTGTAATGTCTAAATCTTACGGTTTGTTCTTTAGGAGTCATTGACAGTGTTACACGAGGTATTTATTTGTTGAACAGATTCTACAGGTTAACTGTCACATACAGATTTTTGTTTTTGTGCTTCTAGAGAACAGCTCCCTCAGTCTCTGACTTATTTCCCTGGAGCCATGTACTTAGTGCTGCCAACAGTGGACATAAACTGTATTTACTGATTCTATAAGTGTTTTCTTACCTCCAGATGCCTGTGCGCCCACTTTGGACTCCAACACAGCTCACAAGAACCTGCTGCTCTCTGAAGGGAACAGAAAGGTGACCTGGGTGGAGGAGGAGCAGCCATATCCTGATCATACAGAGAGGTTTGATGGCTGTCAGCAGGTTCTGTGTAAACAGGGACTAAAAGGACGCTGTTACTTTGAGTTGGAGGTGTCAGAGCCCTTCTGTGTTGGGTTAACATACAGAAACATTGGCAGGAAAGGGGATGTTGATGATTGCAAGCTGGGACACAATGACAAGTCGTGGTGTCTGATTTCTGCTGATGAGGGTTTTTTTGTTCAGCACAACAAAGAGAAGGTCCATGTAACTCCTCAGGCCTTGCGCTCCAGTCGTGTCGGGGTGTATCTGGATTCGGAGGCCAAAAGTTTGTCCTTTTACAGAGTTTCCTCTGACAGTATCATCCGCCTTCACACCTTCAAAACAACCTTCACTGATGTTCTCTACCCTGCTGTTGCTCTCCACCCTCATTCATCTGTATTGTTTTGTCAGCTAACATAGAAACATCTCTCACTGCAGGCAGGTTAACAGCCAAACGAGTAGATTTTCACAGAAATAGGAGCAATTACTATCTATGACTAAACCTTAGTGAGTCCGGTCTAAACATTGCTCCCAGTAATCATTTCTTTTCAACAGGAGAAAAGTAGATAGAGAAAGACCTGAAATCTAGAGGCAAATAAAGAGGACCACACCAGCTTAATGTAGGCCTGCTGAACCAGAACATGGAGCCTAAAGCCGAATTTAAACCACCAAAACGATTTTGTATTTAAATAACCACTTTCAGAAACAGAAGCCCAAAACTTTCTTTTTAAAACTAAAGTCCATTTTCTCCTAACCCTAACCCACATAATTAAGCTGCTTGGCAGCTTAATTATTTGATACTTAATTTCTAGGTGAAACCTACACATTAGCAGGATCACTGTTTGCTAGAGCTGGGCGATATGAGATTTTTTCATATCACGATATGTTTTTTTCATTTCAGGCGATAACGATATCTATCACGATATAAGCCAAATAACTATATTTGTAAGATTTAAATGTGCCGTTGCTCACAAGTGAAATGTGAAATAATCAGCAGCTTGTTTTTAAAATATTTATTTCCCATAATAAGTTCAACAGGATAGATGTACTTAAGGAACATGTGACGTTTTCAGATAAATAAAGGCAAATATTGCAAACTACACAAAAGGCAGCCGCTAAAGCGTTTAAGTTTCAAAATAGAACAAACGAAACAGACTAAATTGTCAATTCCACTTAATTCTAAAAATAAATCTTAGTTTGTTTTACAGAAGAACAGACAAAACTGACTAACTTTTGTCAATATCAAATAAACTGAGAACTAAAAGGAAATTCTCAATCTCTCCTTGTTGTATAGCTGAGCTTTTCAAACAGTTTTAACAGTTACTTTAGTCTGACAAAAGCCGAATGACGAATTAGCGCTTCCAGTCAGAGACTGAGGCTACGTCCACACGTACACGGGTATTTTTGAAAACGGAGATTTTCCGTTTTCGTTTTAAAAAATAATCCCGTCCACACATAAAGGCAGAAATGAAGGAAAACGCTGCTATGAACATGCCAAAGCAGCAGGTGGAGCTAGATTCCTAACCGTGCAGAAATGTTGGCCAATCAGAAGTCTAGAAGCCTCGGTGGGAAAAAGTAAACAAAGCTGCGGCACAGAAGCAGAACAGAGTCGTATGTGTGGACGGACAGTAACTGTGTGTATATGTAAGCATTTAAACACTGCAGAGAGTAGAATTAACAGTAACAGTGTTGTAGAAATTCATTTCACCGAAACAATAACGTGGCGCACAGTGTGACGCATGCACCAGTTCATTGTATTTCCAGACTTGCTTTCAGCACAATTTACAGTGCACGCTACTCTGTTTTTTGTCAGACTTGAAATAGCCGAAATACCTTCACACTACGGAGCTTCTATGGCTCTTCCGTTCCACAATCTCTCCGGCATTGGAACCAGCATCTGTTTTCTCTTCGGTCACGCTCGGTTGATTTTTCTAGTCGGCACACTCATTTCCTCCATTATGCGCTGGCTCCATTACCCGCTGGCTGCTTCCCAAACAAACACACGTGCGGCTTGGTACTTGTGCTGTACGTAACAAGTCACGCGACGTGACGCTGCGGCTGTGATTGGTTCGGCTCTGCGCTACTTAATTTGGATCGGCTGACCTTTTTTTTTTTTTTTTTTTTTTTTCTTTTGTTTGTTTTTTTTAAGAGGACAAGAGCGGCGAGGTCTATCGCGATAGATTAATTTCTCTATCGAGTAAAAGTTATATCGCGATACATATCGTTATCGTTCTATCGCCCAGCTCTACTGTTTGCTTTTATATTTATATGCTGATGTATCTGGTCTGTACCTTTTCCCAGGAACCAACAAACTCTGAGTTTAAAAATAAACTCTGAGTTCCCTTTTCCACAACAACCGATCCAAGTTCAATCAACTCTGAGTATGTTCAGTCTGTTTTAAGCATGTAAAGAAAGAAAGCCTTCTCATGCTACAACTCACCATGGCAACAAGTAATAATTATTCAGTAAAAAAAACATGTATGTAGTAATGGAATGTAATAACCTCACTTTCATTATTTCTGCCATTACTGAATATAAATGCTTAATATTTAATATTTCCGAGTTTACACTTTTAATATTTCAGGAAAGCTGTGCAAGGATGCAGCATTTTAAATATAGATCTCAGTTCATGCTGGAAAAATTAGGCCATTGTGAATGAAAAATTATTGGAAGGAAACTGATAGTCTGACTGCATTGTTGTTCACAGAGTCACAGAATTAGAAAGATTAAGACTAGAGACTTTTATTCTGAGCTGATAATAAATCGGCGATGTAACCGCTGTTTCCATCATTGTAAATATGTTTTAAGTAAGTGATGTTAGGCATACAGAGGAAAAGTAATGTGCAGTGATATCAGTGTTTGTAAAAATGTAAACTTATCAAAATGAAGGAATGAATGAGAGTTTCAGTCAGTTGGTTTGGGCGCAACGTGAGGAATGGGGAGAGAAAACCTGCCAACAAGCAGGTTTAGGATTTTGGTGTTGGAGCTCAGCTCCTTTTACTGAAATGCAGTGCTTTGCTTTGCTAATCCTTGTACTTCAATAACACATAATATGCATAATGTTAAAGAAACTGGTCAGCAGTTTTTGTTGGGAACACACAACACCAGAAAATGTGTGTTAAGACTTTACACTGATAAAAATGATAGTAAAGTAAAAACAACACCTTGTTGAAATGGGGAAAAAGGGAGGGGGGTCTAATGGGAAGAGTTTCTTAGAACAGCCCTGTAAAAATAGACACATTATATGACTGAATAGATTTAGCTTAGCACATTAACAAAAGCTATTAGAAGTTGATGCTGACTAGTAATTATTGTCTATTATTATCCAATTAAACAAAAGTAAACAACAGTTGGAAGTAAAACCAAGTCAACAAACTTGAAATATAAGGCTCAGACCAAAAGTTATAAAAATGGCAGCAGCAAAATAAATCCAGGAGGTGTTTTCTGTGGTTGATTATAAATATCTCTCCAAAAAGCTTCTCCTAAAATAAAAATTTTAACCATTAAATACCAAGGTGTTCTTATCCAATGACCCATGCTGCTGAAATGATTATTCATGAATTCATCCTTTGCTTTGTCCACCAACAGTATTTTGTGTGATTTCTGTGTTTGTAACTATTTTAGAAGTTCACTTTAAAGTTTGTTGTTGCATTTTTTGTTTAGAGATGCACTGTTTTCCACTGCGTGTGTTACATCATTAACTATGTTTAAATGTATATCGTCTATATGCACGTCCGCAAAAACAAGAAATGTCTCCTAAGCACTTTTTATCTACTTCAGAAGTGTTTGAAATTCGCATCTTGTGGTCAAAAATAAATCCTTTCGTAATGAGATGTGATATATTAACAGCAAATAAGATCCAGGTTTCAGCACTTTAAAAGCAGCATGTGAGTGCGGATTTGATAGTTCAAGCTACTCTCTCAGCCTGAAGTAAAAGTGGAACAAGCAGCGAGGTGACGTACTCTTTATGAGGAAGGAACACTTTGGCAGCATTCTGTTACAATGGATTACTCCGACCACTCAGGCCTGCAGAAAAAATAAATTATTATAAAAAGAGATTATTGACAAAGCAGTGAAAGGTAAAATTTCATAAAGTTAATGAGGACTTCTCCAAATGTGAACACACTATCCTTTCCCCCACCCACATCAATTATATTTGTATGTTTTATGATCTGCTTGCTGTGAGCTTCTGCTGCTCTGTGTAGATTCAGCTGAGATCGGTTTAGGAGAGAAAAGCCACATGATATGAAATGAAAGTGTCTCTTTCTTTGTTATTATTAAAAGTATGTAAGATAAATATTTTTCCACATTACCTGCTGTATTTTTTTTTTACTGTGTGCATTTCTTGTAGCAGTTAAAAATAAATCATTAGATTCCTAAAACGTGTCTTGATAAGAAGTGAGTTTATCCTGTATTCACTAAAAAGCTGCATTCATTACTTTCTGTGTCAGCTTTAATTATATGAAAAAACAGTAATTACACAGAAGAGTTACATATCTGGCTTTAAGATATTCTTTTTTTAATTACACTGCAAATTTCAAAGTTTTATTTATGCCTGACAGAGTGACATTTTCAGTTTATGTCATCACTGCACAATCTTGTGTTACAAGTTGGTATTACACAAAACGGACTCCAGCGTGCCACTAGTTTAGCTTCAGTTCTTTCAACACAGAATAGATGTTTTGGTTAATTCCATACACTGTGCTGAACGTTATTTAATTCAATTTAAACACAAGGAATTACAGCAAGTATCTTTAGAAAATTACTTGTACTACAAAGGCCCACACATCCAGGGGCGGAGCTAGAGAAATTTTCTTAGGGTGGCAAAGCAATCAAATGGGGTGGCAAAATCAAAGCCTTTTTTTTCCAAACACACATGCAGGTGGTTACATATGGTTAAAATGATTCAAATGCAGTAAGTATACATGTTTTTCATGTAAATATAGTCTATAACTTAATTATTGGCTGTAGCCCACATACTTAAACACTTTAGTTACATAAAACATATGAGTTTTGATGTTATGCACTGTATAGCCTGTATAATAAATAAATATGTAGCCTAATAAGTATAAAATCCAGAAAGCTACACAACAATGGGCGGTTCGTTTACAAACACAAGTCTAACAATCACATTGTTACAGCTTAAATTACACAAAATGTCAGAAATCTGCACTGTCATGAACAAAAGATTTAAACCTAATTTTTCATGATTTGTTGGATTAACCCATTGAGGTCTGAAATACAACCGGCCACTTTTGACTCCTTTTGAGTTTACGTTCGTATTTCACCCAGGGGCGATTTTAGCCCAGTTTTGGGGGTGCTTCAGCATTTTTGCTTCAGCACCCCCAAAAATGAATCAAAGCACCCCCAAAGATTTCTTTTTTTTTTTTGACAATATTTGCTGTTTGTGTTACACACTGCTAAAAATATAAAAAGCATACGGTACTTTGCTGAGATGTAATATTTTAACAACAAAAGTATAGATTCCCCCCCCAAAATGGTTTGTTCCAGCTCGCCTCTTACCAACTCTCTAGCGCCCTTTCTGCTAGAGCGATGGTGGCTGAGACACAGCGGAGCGGAGGTGTAAGTGCCTGGCTTAAAACGGGGAGAGAGGAAAGAGGGAACTTGAGGAGAAAGTACAAGGTCAGGAAGAACCAGGTAAGAAAACAGGGAACAGTGACAGGCACAACAGAAACTGTTAAACTGACAAAGAGGAAAAACCTGATTTTACTCACACAGTCAGGAAGTTGTGTTCTCCCTATATTAAAGCTGCTGTACAGAATCTGCAAAACAAACTGGTTTGAAACATTTTTGACCCTCTTTAACAACATTCCAACATAACATGATCATTGATCGGGGAGATTAAAATTAATGATATATTTTTATGTGGTTCAGCCACAACTCTACTGAAACCTCAG